TGAGTAGCTCCCATTTCGAGGGAGAAATGCTGATGTTTTGCATGCCAGAGCAATAGTGCTGCCGTGCAGTCCACATCGTGTAGCTCACCTGGAGAACGCCAGCAAGGCCATGGTCTGATCCGCACCACTGCCTTCCCAGCAGACGAGCTCCTGCCCGCAAGAGGCTTGTGGAGTCTTCTCCACTGTGGAGGTAGCTGTATAGCTCCACTGTGAAGGTAGCTGTATAATTCCTTTTCTTCATTTTGGAAAAGCTGCTGAATTATGGCATGAGATTCCCGCAGCTTTATGCTATTCTTAGAGCAGCAATGACAGTAGTTATTGCAGATAAATGCTACCTCTTAAATGCCAATCATTTACTACCTCTGTATTCAATTTTCTGGTTACTCTCCCAAATGACTGCTACAAAATGCAATGCTAATTATGCCACAGCTGGGACCTAAAAATTTTGGCTGTCTGAGTCTCTTCTCCTAGACTTTTTTTTGTTTTAATATTTTTTTCTTTGTTTTTTTCTGTTCTTATCTGTACCGCTGGTTGAATACATGAATATACATTTGCCCTTGCCTTCCCAGGTCTGTTTTCTAATTCACAGAGGCCTCATGCAGCAAATCCTTTTGGCTAGCGTGGGGCAACTTGCCTGACTCAGGTGGACAGCATGGAGCTCAAAGCAGAAAATAAATGCATGTGTGTCATAAACCTGTCAGGAAAACAGCAATACTTGATTCATACCAGAATTCTTCCTTGGCCAAGCCTGTAACACTGCATCAAAGTTTGTTACAGTAACTTGCTTTCTCACAGTCTGACTTTTCCTGGGTGCAAAGTCAGTCAAAAAGGTTCATTATTGCTTGTAATTTGTGCACATTACATAATAAACTATTTGGCTCAAATGTTTCCAGTGCAAGATTCGCCAGAACAAATCCGGGGTGCTGCAGATCACAGCGGGGGGTTATCAGAAAGCCTGCACACAGCGCTGGCAGCTGACGTCTGCGGGGCTAATCCGTGCTTTCCCGAGCCCTGAAATGGCTCACAGGCTTGCGGAGAGGACAAATACAAAGAAAGAGACAACCACTGTCCTCTCATTTCGGCGTTTTACTTTTTTGTTCTGTGTGTTGACAGTGGATAGAGCCCCACTTTTACGTGCGGATCGCATTTTGTCTTTTTTCAGAGACTGAATGCACTTGCATCTCTCTGTTTATCTACATGGCCCACAGCACAGCAGACAGATGGGTGTCTCATTAGTGAATTTATCTTTTCATCCCTGCTGCAAGGCAGGGAAGTACTATTACCATCTCAGCCACCTCTGTCTATGGCTTAGAGGTAAGGAAGTGAGGTGCCCAAAGAGTGATTTGTCCAAGGTCAGGCAGCAGCCAGGGAAACTGAGGCACCGCACGTGCCTGGCTAGGGTGAGTCCAGCAGCTGCACTCCCAATGGAGTAGCACTGATGTGTTGGGGCCAGTTACACTGGTGAAATCAGAGAATCATAGAATCA